AGCAGTGGCAATTAAACAATTAAGACCCAGCGGAACATCAACTTTCTGCTTTGTTGCCAGCCTCAATGACTGAAGAAACTGTTGGAGAGGAAGCCATAACTTCCTTAACATGCACCTTAGAAAAAATCACAGCGCCCCTATTCCATAAACACAACATGGGCAGTTTATCACCCCAACAGACCGCACTGCATGGACTGAGATCCCTTGTAATGTAGCAATGCTTGGTGGGTTTCAGCTCTTTTACTTCACCTCAGCAAACTCTGTGGCATTATCAGGGACTTGCAATGCACTGGGGTGCACCTCCTGAACCATAGGAAGCTTCACTGGGCATTCCCAAAAATGTTACCGCCATCCCAAATGACAACTTGGCTTGCTTGTGCCACTGGGTCAACCCAATACTGTATGGAGATTTTATCCCACCCCCCTCTTTCTTCGCCTCTTTCCCTCAAGCTGCACTGATTCAGAAGAAGCGAAGAGCACTAGCAGTTATTCCTTGATAAACTATGTCAACTGCCTTCTTGGAGTTGTTTTGCCTTTAGGTATTTATTTAGGTGCTTTCTTAAGGTATATGACGTAGATCTCGGTTGTTCTGGCAACTCACACAGCCTGTGGCGATGCTTCTTGCTCTGAACTAAGCCAAACAGTAGGGGTGGGGGGGAAGGGGGAAGAGAAAAAGGGGGAGGGAAGAATACCCTTTGATAAATAACCTTTCCATATTAAATGCACATCAATCTGACATAAACAATTAGCTGTCAGGTGCTTGGCTTTGCAAGCAGAGGCCAATTTTCAGATTAGTGCTAATTGCAGGGAGGGCTGACACATCAACTGGGAGAGCCAGTAGCTTGCAGCACTGGTAAGAGCAGACTTCAATAGCGAGAGCAAGGGAGGGCTGAGGCTGCCTGTCTCCAGATTGCTGGCAGTATGACTGTAGAGTAAAGTAATGGAGCTGGCAGGGTGGAATCAATTACTGGCCAATGAAGATTTTCCCACAGGTCGGGGCTTGGGAAAAAAAGGACGTTCCTGCTGCCTAGACAGCTGGCATGGACTGTCCAGTGGGAAAGGAGCCGGCAGAACGAGAGAGAGAGAGGGAGAGGGACAGTTCTCTGTGATAAAACCAGTGACAGACTATAAATTATGAAAAGGGTACTTGGCAAGAGGATTTAGAGCTCGCTACCTCTCTGTTTTCTCTCCCCCTGCACCCCAGAACCGTTCACAGAGTTATTCACCGACTTGAGCTGGGAAATAAAATGTGTCAGTGGACAAACCCTACATTTATCTCTCTCAGTTCTCTTTAATAGGGTACATGTGTGCTCTGCTTTACAGACCCTTTAAAGCAACATTGTCTTTTGCAAGGTTGCCTTGATGTTGCGCTGAGTAATTATGCAGCATGTTGCTCTTTCGCAGAGCCAGATTAAAGCCCTTGAGACATTTTGCTTGCAGCTCAGCTACATGTATTAAGGACCATTGAAATCAACAGAAGGTATATCCGCCGCCCTCCAAAGGCAGAAGGTTGTGGCCTTTGTAATATTCCACACCCCGGTTCTGTACTATCCAGAAATTAACACAGTTCTTTCCCACCTACAGTGGTACCTGGTGTTACATACCGTCCCCCTTACAAATGCTGCGGGTTACGTGCTCCACTAACCCGGAAGTAGATACCCCTTGTTGCGACCTTTGCCCCGGGATGCGAGTGGAAGTTGCACTCTGGCGGTGCGGCGGCAGCGGGAGGCGCCATTAGAGAAAGCGCACCTCATGTTACGAGCAGTTTCCTGCTACGAATGGACCTCCAGAACGGATTAAGTACGTAACACGAGGTACCACTGTACTCCTTTATCCTCACATTAACACCGAGAAGGAGCTCAGGCTGCTGGACAGTGACTGGCCCCATCTCACCCAGTGCGCTTCATGGTCGAGTGAAGATTCAAAGCCTGTTTCCCTGAGTTCCAGCCCTAGTTTGGTGCTCTAACCAGCAGCAGCCAATGTAGGCTTTCTGGATGTTTTTGCACTACAACTCCTAACATCCTTCTCTATTGGCCATGGTGGCTGTGCCTGATGGAAGTTGTAGTCCAGCAGCATTCAGAGGGCACCCCACTGACTACTCCTGAAACTATATCAGTGACAAGAAAACTACCTGAAATTCATAGTGTTAATTAGTTGTTCTACTTATTACATGAGTCATAGAATTGGAAGGATCCACAAGGGTCATCTGGTCCAACCCCTTGCAATGCAGGGATCTTTTGTCCAATGCGGGACTCCAACCCACGACCCTGAGATGAAGAGTCTCATGCTCTACCAGCTGAACTATCCCAGCTTTGCACAAGAATGAGAACAAGGGCAATACCTTGGGAAATTGTCCCACTATCCTAGGAAATTGGATGCCCACTTGGCATCACCCAAAAAGAGAACAAAAGGAGGCACAGATTTGAATAGAATATTTAGAAGTATTAAGTTAAATAGAATTACAGACTTAAAACTGAACAGCCCTTCAAACAGTACTCTTTCAAATTGAGGACTTTGCTCTGTAAAACAGGACACATGGTCTAAGACAAAATATCTTGTTAAAATGGAGTTTTGATCCTTCACCCCCATCACCCCGGTATGGCTCCCCTTTATCACACACACAGCCCAACAGGACAATGACAATAATCCACCAACAGCATACAAATCAATATGGCTAACCTGATCCAAAACACCCACCCACCTTCACTCACACACGAAAACAAAAGATCACCACAGCCAATCACAAGCAAACAATCACACCCTAGGCCAACCCCAACCTCTCTCACCACCAAAGGAACACAAGTGAACAACACAAGCACGCTGACACCAAACTCTACATACAATTAAACATAATAGAAAACACCGCCACCCAATCCCACCCTTATCATCTTCCCCCTCTCCACCCCCCTTTCTTTTTTCTCTCCTTTTTTATTTTTTATTTTATTTTCTCTCCCCCTAATGCCTCAACAAATGAAACGGATTTGTAAAAATGTTACATGGGGAAAAAATATATATGAGCACTACACTTCTGTTAAAACAAGAAAATCCTTAATAAAATATTTAAAAAAAAAATGGAGTTTTGATGACCACACCAGCCAACCAGCCAGCCATGGCATTGGAAATACATTTAATTGGCACATAAAAGCCAGTGAAAGAAAACAAAAAGTATTCTCATGCAAATAAAGAGGGTATCACAGTAACAGTCACAGCTGAGATTTGGAGGGGGGCGGGAAATCCTCAGTATGTTGTAAAATTAAAAATGATTGTGCTTGTAATCCTATCTAATTCAGAACTCACTGGGACTTAATTCTGAGTCTGTGTACATAGGATGGTGCTGTTATTCACTCCTACCTTCTACTTAAAGCAATGACATGGACATATTGTAATTTTTGAAGAGTGGAGTCTGAATTCAGTACAAAAAACAACACTGACAAGTTAAGTAGATCCTGGCCCAGTTTAATTTAGGATAGGGCTGTAGTATTACACATTTGAGTATTTAGGAATAGGCAAACACCTGGATGCATGCACACAGAGATGCACGTGGACCAATAAAAATTGTCCTTCGTGTATATTAAACAGGGTTCAAGTCCGCACACTGCACCATTCTTGAGAGCAAAGTGCAGACCGTGCTCATGAGGAGAAGCCATCTGAATAGGGAATGAGAAAATGATGGGCTCAGAAACATTCTTCCCATTTGAGGAAAGAATGTTTTTTTAACCACCACCTGTGATTAGAGCACCTGTTCTCCATGCACCTGTGCAATTGTATTAAGAGTGCTGGGGCCCTAATGAATGGGGGGTTCTGTTCAGGGACGCACTGGGGAATCTTTGTTTTTTGCTTTAGTTGTGAAATTTTTAAAAATAGTGCTGAAAATAATAATATTTTAGGCAACTTTTGTTGAAATCCTGACCTCAGAATAATTTAACTTTGGCCTCTTTATTTTTTTAAAGTAGGAACATGCCTGGCAGTTCTAACAGGCCTGAAGTCTAATGAATTTGTTCACGAAGAGACCAATCTGGTGGCACATAAACTGCAACCACAGGAGGCCTCTGATTCAATTAAAATTGTTTCCTCTGGTTTGACTTCTTGTATTGATAGAATCACACACACACACCCTGCTCTGCTCTGCTCTGCTCTGCTGGGATGAGAGTTCTCAGGGTCTGCTTTAAAGTTAGGCTAATGGAGCCAAGCAGTGTTTTATGTAAGTGTGTTTACAGGAGGATAGTGACAGAAGGATGCTTATCCTGCTAATATGGAACTGCGATGACAACCCCAGCAATTGGCACAATCAGTGGCTTTGTGAATGCATTTAATTGGCAAATAAAGGCTTGCAGAAGTGAAATGAATGTATCATCATGCACAGGGGATTAGGTTCACCCTCGTCCTTCACATGACAGATTAATTTGTGCCCGGGTCTTCTCACTCCCATGACTTCCCACCCATATTTTGAGAATCAACGAAGATGCATCAATTTAATTGTGTGATGCTCTAGATCAGGGCTGGGAGACCTGTGACTTTACAGATTTTATTGAACTACAGTTCCCATCCTCCCTGATCATTGTCCATGCTGGCTACAGTTGATGGAACTCAAGAGTTGAACACCATTCACAGCTTCTTAAGTCCTGTGTTAGATGTCCTGTGTTGAAAGAGAGAAATAAACGAGGAAGAAATATTTCTCTTGATCATTCTCCCGTTGATATGTCACAGGGGAATCAAAGAGGTGCGATATAAAACCACCTCTGATTCTAAGCAGATTTGGGCCTGACCAGTTTCTGGATAGAAGATTCCTGGTGAGCCCTATCAGCAGAATGAAAATAAACCAAGAGCGATGCTTTAGGATACTGCCTCATCATGCCAGAGTATTTGAACGATGTTGACAATTATTGCTCTCACCCTTCACAATAGAGTGTTTTGGGGGACTCTGGTTAAACAACCTATATCTGTACAAACCATCTTTGAAAAGAGATGGGGCGGGGTGGAAGAGTGGGGGGCTGCTTGCAATGGAGGCGTTGTCAGCAGCCAAGTCCTCTGCCCCACTGGCCAGCCCCCTGGCCCTCCTGAACTGCCCCAAGGCACAGCACCCACCCACTCTGACCATGGTGATGGAGGTGGTGAAGACCCTGGATGAGCGCAAGGGGGTCTCTGTCGTGGCCATAAAGTGCTACATCCTGGACAGCTACTCCAGGGTGGACCCCATCTGCCTGAAGTACACCCTGGCCCAAGGTCTGGAAAGGGGCTGCCTCCTCCGGCCCCAAAACTCTTCCGCGCTGGGTGCCACGGGGAGATTCAAGCTGGGCACAGAGGAAGCCAAGGGAAAGAAGAGCCATGGGGAAAAATTGGATTCAGATGGAAAAACAGCACCCAAACTGAAGAAAGCAGCCAAGAAGCCCAAGGTGAAAGTTTCTGTGGAGAAACCGAGGCAGGGAGCAATCACAGAAGGGGAGAAGAAGGAGGTAGCTCCCAGCAAGAATAGCAAGGCGAAAGCTAGCAAGCACCCAGGCAAACCTTCAGCAAAGCCCAAGGTGAAGAAGTCCTCCGAGGGGGAGAAAGCAGCCCAAATCCTCAAGAAACCAAGCTCTTCCAAGGCCTTGCTGGCAAACACACCTGGTGCCCCCCAGAAAGCTGTGTCTAAGGAAAGCAAGATGGAGGGCTGAGGATGAGGGGCCCCCAGGCAGAGGCCAAGGCTCCTGCAGCAGCCAAGAAAACCAAAGAGGCAAAGGGGGAGAAAGCCAAGGCTGGCCAGGGGTCCAAGCCCCCCAGAGCCAAAGGATGGAAGGAGTAGGAGAATCCAGCTAGCCGGGGCCCCAAGGAGGCCTGAGGGCCCAGATTCCGCAGGGAGGGCAGGATGAGGGCACATGGCTGTCCAACGTGTCACCCTCTATCCGCCTTGTCCAAGGGAGAGGCGACTCCTTTTATAGTGGGGTCCCCATTTATGAATGGACTATTTACGAAGCAAAGACCCTGTTTTTAAACACTGTGTCATTTTCCAATAAAATTCAGAGTGCAGCAAAAACAAACAAACCAACAAACAACCATCTTCGAAAAGTAGCAACAGAAGCCACTGCAACATACAACAACAACACTTTTATTATTTATACCCCGCGCATCTGGCAGGGTTTCCCCAGCCATTCTGGGCAGCACATATAAAAACTTAATAGCAGCACAGCACAAGTGGGACTATTCAAGCATGTTGAAATGGTTGAGCAGTTTCAACAGTAAACATATTTACACCAATTGGTCTATTGTCAGTGGAAAAGAACAGAAGGAAAAGTATCAGTTGGGCTTCAAAGTGACATAGGGATGTGCCTTGTACAAATCAAACCACTGCCTCTACGTTGACCAGCAGCAAATCTCCAGGCTTTCAGATGTAGACTTGGAAAGTCTAGGGAATGAACCTGGGGCTCTTGCATTCGAAGCATGTGCTCTGCTACTGAGCTAAGCAGATATAGGAACTCATATTTGGTGGGAGTTAATATGTGTCCTTGTACTTCACAGGGTGACACCAGGGAAGTTGAGAGGGCCTCACGTATGTATTTTTGTACATTGTGTAAGAATCCTTCTGTCCTTGTTTCCCTCCTAATAAGATTTGAGCAGCAAGGACAGACTGGCTTCTGTGTGTCAGGCAAATCTGATCCAGGGAGGGACGGGAGGAGACAACAACAACAACAACGACAGAGTGGCTTAAAAGGACATGTTTTCTCAAGGATATGATTTGTTCTAGGATAATGCTTAGGGAACAATAGAAAGTTTGTAGGCAGAGGGAAACAATTCTGAGAATGAGAAATTGTACAACTTAACTGTAGACTTCCTGCTCAGCTGCAGAAAGGTACTTTTCTTAAAAGGAGCCACCCTCCATATATAGTTGGGAATTCTTTTCAGAACTATCCCTATTGTTGTTTGGGCTGCTCTTTCTTCATCGACAACAATGGCAAAACTAACATGTACAGGGTCAAAGAGCTCCTGTTAATATTTGCTATATCAGCTGAGGGGGGGTCCCCTGATGGTGATTACAATCCATTGAGAATGTTTCCTGAGTGAGTCCTACAGAAATAATGGGAGTGTGTTTTTATGAAGTTGCCATTCACTTTAGTGGGATGCTGCTGGGAGAGTTGTTGACTCATACAATTTGGGAAGGAAGAAAACTCTGCAGATAACTTTTTTAATTGTATTATGTGGAGGACAGATTATTTTAAAATTAGCATTCCTAAATACGCCTTTTCTGTTCTATTTCATGCTTACTTTTTCTTTTTTGCTGCTTCTATATTAATACAGTCTAATCTCATACAGAAAAAAGTTTCATTGAATTGAATGGAACTAACTACAAGTTATCACGGACATGAAGGATTGCAACATTAAACGAAAAAATGTGCAATGTTAGTAGTCCACATTTTTAAAATCTTAGAAGTTATATTAAAGTATTTAGTGTATTAAAAACACTGGTTGCAATCCGTCTGATGTCAAACTAGTTTTAAGGTCTGTTTATTTCAAGGGAGAGATTGAAGCATGTGCTTAATTCTCATATTGAGATTAACAGAACTTTAAGGTGTTTGCCAAAGTGTGGGCAATGAGGTGCAGTGCAAGCATGCTATCTTCTAGTTTTGCATTGTTGGATTAAAAAAGCTTTGCAGTGCCATATTCAATATTTATTTTTGCTCCTCCAATTTTTTCCTGAAGTTTGTTCTGCTTATTTGTGTACCTCCCAGCATTTTACCTGATCTCATTATTTATATGTTGAAGCTTCTTGATGATTCTTCTAATCCCTCAGCTCCATACTCAGTAGCTTTGGCACTGATGAATTTTATTTGCCCCCAAGTGATTGCTTCAAATGCTGAAGCTATAGATTTTAGAATCTTCCCATAAACTAACAAGGTGCAGATCAGTATGAGCCATGGATACTTCCTTGACCCATGAAAGCAAATGCTTTGTGTTGATGTCTCTGGGAGAATGAGGATAAATGTGTTATGAGGTAGTCTAAGAGATGAGGAAGATGACAGGTATAGACTAATTATTGCAGTCACCCCAAATATAGTCCCCTAAATTTCTCCCATACAAGGCAACAAACTGAATTACTGGGAGAAAGGGTGAATAGGTCAAAACTGTGAGGTGATCTGAGTAGTTCGGAGTGGGGAAGTCAGGGCCACCGAGAGACCAATTTATCCCCCCCCTCCTCCTCTTAAGAACATAAAAAAGCCTCAGAGAATCACACCAAAGGCCCATCTAATCCAACGTCTTGTTCTCACAGTAGCTAACCAGATGCTTATGAGAAGCCCACGAGCAGGACCTGAGTCTCCCCACTTCTGATCCCTAGAAATTGGTAGTGGAAGCAGAACATAGCCATTGTGGCTAGTAATTGGTATTCTTCATCAATAGCTTTGCCCTGCTTATCCTCTTCCAGAATTCCTCCTCACGTTCATAGCCAACCCAAAACATTTTGTGCTTGAGGGAAAGAACAAGAACAGCTACACGCTATAAGGTTAAAACACATTCAATGCACATGGCTTCTCCATAGAAACTGGGACCTGTAGTTTCCCCTCTCGTGGAGTGGAACTATAATTTTTAGCACCCTTAACAAACTCCAGGATTCTTTGAGGGAAGTTATGTTTTGGGTTTTTTATGTGCATTGAGTATACTTTAAAATTTTCGTGTGGATCCATCTCAGGATGCCCCTTTCCCCAGAACTTATAACTGGAGCCAGCCAGATTGGCAGCAGAACAGCAATCTCCACCAAATCTGTGGGCAGCAGGCAAGCTCAGGGTGCAAAGCAGAGTTTATATGTCACACACCTGACTGCCTTCCTTGAGGAAGGCACCTCGCTCTGCCTAATGGTAGGGTCCACCCTGACCACACGCTGTGGTCTAAACCACTGAGCCTCTTGGGCTTGCTGATCAGAAGGTTGGCGGTTCGAATCCTCACAATGGGGTGAGCTCCCGTTGCTCTGTCCCAGCTCCTGCCTACCTAGCAATTCAAAAGCACACAGTGCAAGTAAATAGGTACCGCTGTGGCAGGAAGGTAAATGGCGTTTCCGTGCGCTCTGGTTTCCATCGCAGTGTTCCATTGCACCAGAAGCGGTTTAGTCATGCTGGCCTCATGACCCAGAAAGCTGTCTGTGGACAAACGTTGGCTCCCTCGGCCTGAAAGCGAAATGAACGCTGCAACCCCATAGTCGCCTTTGACTGGACTGAACTGTCCAGGGGTCCTTTTACATTTACCTTTTACCTACACACCAGGGAATACCAAAATCCCGGTGTTATCAAGAGGCAAGAGACTGGCATTCGTATGTTTCAATGGAGCCTGTGCCCTTTGTGTTTTGGGAAGCTCCACTATCATCTTGTGATGTTTCCAAAAAAGAAAGCAACAAGAACTCAACAAGTATGTCCTGAGAGAGCAGCTGAAGTGAGAGAGAGAATGCTGTTGCTCTGTGATGTATACATCTTGGCCAAAGGAACCTTTCTCTTGGTTTTGACAATTTCCCCATTTGGCTGCCTTGGCTTTGTATTCAGGATGCTGCAGCTGGGGCTTTATCCACCTGTGCCTGCAAAAGAGGAGTCCCAGCCCAGCTGCTGTCTTCATGCAACAGAATATTCAACATGAGTCATCCTGTGCAGAGTGTGGGACCACCATATGTCCCTCACTCCGTGCTACACATAACTAAGTTGTGTTGTTATCTTCGGCCAAGCTGAGGGGATCATTTAGAAAGCTCCTGTTCCTAGTGTTCCACAGTCTTGTTCCACAACCACTAATCAAAAGTTTGGTGCACTTGATCACTGCTGCAAACCAGATGTGGGAGGTGATTCAGGCTAGAGGAATCTCCCTCAGTTCAAAAACTGAGAGGAACAGGCTGTGCAATCTATATGACTGGATTCCTCTCTGCAAGGGTGTATCAATATAAAAGGATTTAATGCAAGAGTCTTGCTGGTTCAAGCCAAGGATTTGTCAAGTCTAGCCCAGCATCTTCCTGCCTTCCACAGCAACTGACCAGAGGCACCTCCAGATTGTCGGTATTTTGTGAGAAGGTTTCAAGCACATGCTGGGAAATTTAGGTGTGCACAATTAAAAGGTCTTCATTGGTGCCTGTGTGCAAGTTAATGCCAAAGATAAATAGTTTCTCTTCGAAGTGTAGCACAAACATCTTCTGCTGAAATGAAGTGCCAGTAGCTAGCTAACAATATTAGGAGCTGCAAAGACACACACACACACGCTCAGATATATTACATTTTTTTCTTTTTTCTTAAATAATTTTTAGAATTCCTTCGTTAGCCAAGCAGGGTGAAACCACACCCTCTGCTTATAGGAGTAGTCACTTTGAAGTCACTTCAAAGGGGATGTGCATGTAACGGCTGCAGGTTCTTTCAGCGCTGCATGACCATTGACATTTTCATTGTTCAATACTTTAAAACATTATGACTTATGACCGAATAAAAGAGGCTGGGTTTTCTTTTTTGCATTGTTGACGCTGATCCTCTAGCTTAGCAAAGGCACTTGAGCAGTATTTTGTGGATCAGCTTATCTGCCCAGGGGCATCTGTTGCATTTCCCAACACCATTATGGGCGGAAATAAAAGCTATTCACGTAATCCCCAAACAACTTCATTCCTCTATGGCCCTTCAAAAGACCACAATCTCTTAAATAGTGATTGAGGACTTGGGAGACATTT